GCAGAGGGGACACATACCTTCTATCCTCATTCCCAAGGGTCAGTCACAGATGAAGCTAACACAGGGCGAGTGGCAGAGAGCCAGGCAAAACCAGACTATACTGACCCCCTCCCAGACGATTAACAGGATCCTAACGCACTGCGGATACACATTCATAAGTGCCAGAGACATGTCTACCTGAAGACAGTCTAAGCTAATCTTGACACAGTTCTTGGAAATATTTCTATTTATTTTGAATCATTTTTACAAATCTTTTATCATGTTGGAAGGACATCTGACATTATGAAGCCTCCACTCTGTGGACTACAGGTCTCAGTTTTTTTTAGACCAGTATCCTTATTTACACTTATTTATTAATCAAGGGGCCTGACAAGCTGCTGTGAATAAAGCTGCTGATGATTCAGTAGTTTGGAAGGAGGGTCATCTGAGGATTAGAGTCTATAAACAGCCTTTATGAAAAGATAAATTTTTTGTCAATTAATTGGCCTGGAGAATCTTGTCATTTCAATCTGTCATTGTTGAATTTTATTTTACTGCAATATTTTGAAATGAAGCAAAAAAGGAAAAGTGTCTAGTTAATGCTTTTGGCAATCTCTCTGTTTCTTAATAACTTCTTGAAATCCTACATTTCTTCGTTTTTCATCTTAATTAACACTTTTAATTGACCTTCTGTGCTCTCTAATTTCTCCCAGTAAAGAATTAAAAAATAGGCTTCTAAATTCTTTTCTGCAATTAGATTGACATGAAATTGCTTGTCTACAGAACATCTCTGCCTTAACAAACTTTTTTTTCCCCATTTTTATTTTTTTGCCACTGAAGTCCCCACTGGAAATTACAGTTCATTGAACCATAGAGCTAGAACTGATTGTGCACATAAAAAATCCTGGAACAATTGAACAAAGAAAAGAACTTCCTGGAATTCTATGGTAAAATCAGAAGTCAAGTGACAACAAAACTTTTACCTGATTTGAACTCACTTGCCCTTGATCATTAAGAAAATATTTTATGTTCCTCCATTTTCCCCTGATGAGAAAAGGAACTGGGTTTTCCTTCATTTAGCCTACATCAAAGCATGGTTATAGATGTCAAAGAAGATGAATTTCGGTTGCCAACAGTTTTTATAGGGCACTCTATTGCATCTTCTTTATATCAATTTCTTATGCTTTTTGTAGAATATTGGAAGGCTAAGGCTAAAGAACCCTGTCTAATTGCTTTTATTTTTAATTAATTTTTAATTAAAGCTTTATGTAGCACACATTACAATTCTAGCAATCCTAAACATGTTTTTTACCATTTCCATCTAAAATATAGAAGGCAAGTCTCCTTTTTAAGGTGCTGTGAGAAACTATAGTCAGTTCTTTCTACTGGAGTTTGTGGAAAGCATTACTAAAAATGCAAATTCTATGTTTTGAGACTTGAAACTTGCAAATAACTATTAATCTTGGATCTTACTTTTATATTCTGAGATGAAATAATGACATTTTAAGCACTTAAACCTTCACTAAGAGCAAGATAGGCAAACATATACTTTGTTTCAAGCATCTTAATTAAGTTGATTCCATTGGTCTTTTCATGTGTTTATTGTTAGGCATGTGCCTATGTACTTTTCTGAAATGCTGGATGGTATTTAGCAGAATGAATTACATCCCAATAAGTAACATTTCTTTAAGAATCCTAATAATGTAGGAAGTATGCAAAATAAGTTTTCATTTTCAAGATAAACAGACAAAGTAACTTTTTGTGAGCATTGCTTTTTTTTTATTGCTGCATCCAGCTGTAAATCATGTCTTGAAAGCAAAACCATCTTCTTTTTAAAAGCATTTTTTCAGAAATAGTGCATTATTTTCTCCTGAGCTGTCGAGACAATTTCCTGCCTAGATCTGGTGCCCCATTAATTTTAGAGTATAAGAAAAAGTCACTGTGAGCCATAAGGAACAATTTTGGATTTGCTGCATACATATATATCATGATAGATTTGCCTATAGTAGTTATATGGATGATGTTTAACAAACTCCTGTTCTCCCCGTTTTGGGATTAATGTCCTCCTTCCCTCAGATTTGTGTAGTAACATGGCCTTATGCTACCCATAAATGGAGGATTCTTTTCTTTTCATTGTGTCAAATTTGAAATTTGAATGCAATTACAGTAACAAGAGGAACTCTTTCTAATGAATCTCAAAAAGTCCTGGCCAAAAAACATGTAAAAGTCTCCTGTAGAGAAAGAAATTGAGTGCACGGTGTGAGCATAATAGCAAGGGCTGAGACATTGCTTTGCATTACAGTTTTATGGGGTGATATTTTAAAAGGTATTCAGAGATTTATCACTTTTTGGGGACAGCTAAAATTGTTTTCACATTTCTAATATTGCTTTCATTAGAATGTTGAAAGTATGTTCATGGTATCAGATTGAATTCTAAGGTGTTACCAAATCATACAGAATCCCCACTACTTAAGTATATTCCCTTGTATCCCTATGTATCTTCAGAGGAAAAAATGGGAGGAATGTAAGTGTTTTGTTTTAAACTATATAATCTGTATTCTGTCATGTACTTCATCTCCCAGGGAAGGTATCTGGGAACTCACTCTGCTGTTTTTATTTATCCTGCCAGTGTAGTATATAGATGAGAGGACTAAGGTCCAATGGTGTTAAAACAAGACATGAAATATTGATTAATTCTTTTTTTAAATTCCCTTTTCCTCCTGAGTATAGCAAATTTCAGATGCTACTGTCAATATAGTACTCTCCAATAAACCTCCATTATTGGAAGGGTCCTGATCTTCATAGTGTTCTTACAAATGGTTATTATGATTCTAAATGGCTTTAAAAGCTCAAGGCTAGTGTTCTTCTGGTGCAAGAGCAGAAAGCAAGTTAGCAGCAATGCAGCTTTTTATCATGGCAGAATGTTACTCTCAAATAACATGAATTGGATTGGGAATTCTCTTTGCTAGGCAGTAGCAGAACATTCTGTTTGAAGAAATGAAGATCCTAACGGGACAGATAAACAGATGTACAGTTTCGTGGCTATAAAGGTGTCAAGTAAAGAAACACAGTCATAGTTGGTGTCCACCTAATGAAATGCAGGTATTTGACACCCTGCTTTTTGTTCCCACTTGGCATTCTTTGGTGCTAAGTTAACCCTTTATTTATTGTTTCCAGAATGGTCCTTTACAAAAGCAGCTAAGCAGATCCTTAGGAGTTTCCCCAAGGAAAAGGATGTTTCAGGAAAGTTAGGGATAGAAGTTCACACCAGCTAACCCATGAAGGATGATAGGCATGGGCAAAGAAGAGAAGATGTAGCCCAAACTACTTTGAGTGTTCTTGAGGACAATAAAACTCTCTGGGAGTTGAGGTAATTGTTTTTCACTTAAAAAAAAAAAAAAAAAAAGAAGAAGAAAGAAAAAAGATTTGTTTAAGCTGGAGTGTTCTGGAGGGTTTTTTCTAGGAGCTTTTCTACTATCCATAATGAAAGGTATTTATCAGAGAAGGAACGCAAATCTCAGTCTTGTATGTATTGGGTAAATGTCATTATAAAGGTTGTACAACTACTTTTTCACCCATCATCTTACTTAGTATTTAGTCAAACTTCAACAAGAAAGAGCAAGGAAGTAACACAGAATGAGAGCCAAAAGCCACTGATTGGCAGATTTACCTGGGAGGCAGGAGACCGTAGTATGTTCCTGCTCTGAACCAGGAGGAGACACCTGAGGTTGTTTTTTCAGTCTCACAGGGAAGTTGGGGTTTATAGGCTGGGTAAGTTGCTATATGATATTTTTTTTCCACATGAAAGCTTTTTTTCTACCCCAGGATGAAAATGTTTTCAGAAGATTTTGTTGAAGGGGATAACTGATTTGCATATGGTCCTACTTGGGAGTTCTTTTGCAGCAAAACTTAATTGTGTGCAAACCCTAGCCTACTTTAACTTATGATGGAGAACACACTGCTCCCTGCTGTACCCAAAAGCTAAGAGCTAAAAGATGTGGCATAAAGCTAAATTATCCCCTCCTCTCACTCACACCCAACTCTCTCAAACTGAGCCAATGTTGGCGCTCTATTAAGATGGCTTTATGACTTTGTGACATCATTCTTTGGAAATTGGACACATTATTTATCATTTTTAGAAAAATATTTTCATTGATTTCAGTCAAACTGAAAGCAATACATGCACAAAGCTGGACTTCAACCAGTTTGTAAGCAATGAGGACTAAATGTGTTCTTATTACTTATGATGGTTTAAAGCAGTGTCTTGCTTGCCCAGGTTATATGGGTAGCTCTGTTGACTCCCAGTCCCCCATTGGTAACACTTGTGTGAGTGAACAGGATTTGGTCTGCAATTAACAATGCATACGTTTGCTCACATAGGCAATGTGTGAACCAAATCCTTACATGTCATTTGTTCTCACTCATGCAGGTTATATTTTTGGACTGATTTAATGCAACTAGTTATTTGAGGAAAGGTTATCAGTCTGGCACTGTCTTGTGTTTTTCTCTCTGCCATGTTATCTTAAAGGGATATGCACAGATTTTTGTTTTTCAAAGTCTTGTATTAGATGGTTTTCTACCAAAATGTCCTTAAAAGTTTCATCACTCTGTGAATTTTCAAGCTGAGGACAGCCCACTGCAAATTCAGAGGGTGGTGCGTACTCACATGCACACAGCACAAACTCTGCCAGTAGTTTGCTTTTTGGTGAACTTTATCTCATTTTACACACTCTACTAATTGCAATCTTTCAGATGTAAAAATAAATTATTTTCTGTATTACAGGAGATGCATTGTTTGACTACAGATATTTAACATGGCATTTTTTCTGTGGACAATAGCTTGAGGCTCCAAGCTGGCAAGAATGAGAGCATATCTATAAATAATTCAAAATAATTGTATGGTTTTGACAGATTGTCAAGTTGCTTAATGCCTTTTGTCCCAGGTAATAGATTATATTTCTTTGATAAAGTGTTGATAATTTCTCATTGCAATTTGTTTTGTGTATGTTGTATTTTTACAGAGTCCAGTCAGGTTCATATCTCAGTACGGGTTGGTTTACCTTAATTTTGGCTATGGATGCCTGCTATGGAATTCACGTCTATGGGATGATAAATGACACCTACTGCAAGTAAGATCACAGGAAATTATTTTCATGCATCTACAATTCTGATGTCTTGTCAAAATTTCACAATTGATTTTAATATCATAAATCCAAAAAATGGATTGGGCAGTCATTTCCCAGTGTTTTGCATTGACGTGACACTATTGTCAGCATATTTAGTCCTGATATGGCATTTGCTGTTGATAAAATAAAAACATTTACAAAATCTAACATCATATGTCATACGGAACTATTTTTAATCAAATTCTTTTGCAGTTTCTGAATTAGCTGGAAACAAAGTATGTTCATAGTCTTCTGACAAAACGTACTTACTTCTACTGCTAAAACAAATCTATAGAGGAAATACTAATATATTAGTTCTCTGAATACCAAATATACCTGGAAGTGAAAGGAATTGATTAGCCTGGGATAGTTACCTTAAATTAGTTTTCACCACCATTGAGCAACCTACTTGAACTTTCTAGGTTATATATGGCTTGTTTTGAGTAGTAGGGGGTTTCTAATTAGATAATAAAACAAGTCCTGTTAGCTTTATCACAGTAAATGGACATAAATTCCCACCAACTACTGTTAGTGGCCTTACAGTGACAATGGATTAATCCTATTGTTAGAAGTATAACTCTAAACACAGTTTTAAAAAGTTCAAGTTAAATGCTTTTATCTACAGTATATGGTAGCAAAATATAAAATGAAACTATTCCTCATTCAGAAAAGCAGGAAATGTACAATGTACAAATTTATTCTGTACCTAGGCTGGTTCAAGTCTTGCATGTAACCAGTCCAGTGGGTCCTCAGCTCCTACAGTAAAGTCTTTGTGCAGATCCTCACTCCATATTCTGTGTTACTCCAGTGTGGGACTCATTCCTGGCAGATCCTAAAAAAACCCAGAAAAAAAAAGGAATTTGAGTCACAGCTGTTTAATTAGGGTATCTTAACATTAGAGTCTGACTTTTTAGAACTTGCAGATCTCACTGATTGAGTGAGTCATCCAGATGGAATGAACATATGTTGTTCTTTGTTTATGAAAACACAGTAGACGCCCTGAGATGAGGGGTGACAGGACTAAAGTTGTCCTCACAGAGTTCAGCCAAGCTGGCATTACATAGTCCTGATGTAAAACCAGTTAACAGCCTGATAACACTTCAGTCTGTTGGCAGCAGAGAAGGATGGGTTTCCTTAAAGCTACAATTCTGACTACATTACCTACTTATAATGTATATTATTCTTATAACTGCCTTATTCAGACAGTTCAAGAACCAGTTTCAAGAGTTGGCACTATCCAAAGAGAATATTTTGCTTAGGGATGGAGCCTTGTGGACTGAGTTCTCCTAGGTTAAACAAAATGTGCAATACCCATAAGAACCAGCCCATCAGCTTTTTACTGACTGATAAGATCAGTTTATTCTGAGAGATGCACGTAGCTTCGTTTGCTATAGGAAAATTCATACAAATCATGCTGTAATGAAAGCCCTTATGCAATTTAGCAAAGGAGCTCAGGTGCTGACACATGGAAAGAATTTCAGTGAATTCAGGTGCAGTATATATTAAGGTTTTTCTTGGAAATAGTACTTAAGTGTATCTTTTTTTTTTTCCCCTAGGTCAGAAGGCTTTCATAAAGTTCCCTACCACTATTACGAGCCAGGAAGAGATGAGTGTGAGGAATACTTTCTGCATGAAAATGCTCCATATGGAGGCCATAGGTTTATCACGGAAAAGAAAGTATTTGCTAAGTGGGCCAAGAAGCGCACAATAATATTTACACACCCCAACTGGACAGTGTCTTGATATTGGTTCTCTTAACTCTCCCTTAAACAGCATATTACAAAAATGTCTCAGTTTACAATAATTTTGCTTATATCTGGCTGGCCTTTCTCAGCCTAGGTAACACTAAACTAAAAACTAGAAGACAAAAGAGGGTGATGGTTCAGCTATTAAGCAAAATTAATCAATCTGTGGAAGGCAGACACATTGTTTGTTATTTCTTAGGGTTTTACTCCACACAATGCACTTTATACTTTAACTGGATTTTACTTCAAGGCAGTAGTGGTTAAAGTCAGATGAGATTTCCTGTATATACAGGTGCACACAGAGGACATCGTGGTCCTTTAAAATTTGTCCATCACCTTTGTTAATTAAAATTCCTATTTGTAGCTCATTTGCAGTACTGCAGCACTAGTTCCATTTGTGGTATTAGTAGAAATTTTCCACAAAAGAAATATGAGGAAAAATACAGACCTCCAAGGTCTATGAGTGAATAAATTTACAAAACACCTGAATACATTGATATATGTGAGCACTTGTATATGTGGTAAAATTAGAGATGAGCTAAACATGGTTCTTGAACTGCATACAACACTCACATGAGATGGTGTTATTTACTCAAGGGTCCTGATATTAATTAATAACTTCTGATATGCAGCTTCCTCCCACCCTGGTCAGGCAGCACCATCTTGGATGATGTGGTTTGTACTTTTTGAGGCTGTAGTCCCACAGTTTAGCTCCAGCAGCATGGCACTTAGAAAGGACTGTGTTGTGCAGCCTGTGATGAACCTTAGGCTATTGTACCAAGGCCTGCTGTCAGTACCCAAGCTGGTTAAAGTTGTCTTATGAACATCTCCATTTACTCCAGTTGTGCCTTTGAGTTGCTCCAACATCCAAATACCAGTATTTTGACAGCATTTCCCATGCAGTCATCATAATTTATTTTAAATCTCCAGTTTCTCTATCTTTAAAATCAGGGATAGTATCTATCTACTTCACAAGGGAGTTGTGAGGATTAATTTAAGTCCATAAAGCACCTTCCTGATGAAGAATGCTACAGAGCATTTACTCTTAACACAAAAACAACGGTACCTGTCATTTATTCTTGTCTGTTGGGTATTTGAAGAAAGTGACAGCATGTCTGAATCTGATGGCGAATTGTTCTGTGCATCCACTTTCCTACTAAGGATAATTTGTAATACTGAGTGCTCTCAGCTTGCGTTGCTTCAGATGGAGTTGAAAGAACTCACCACCTCGCAGTATTATCTGCACATCAAGAGGCAGTTCAAGAATTTTAAAATACACTCATCTCTAGTTGAAATACCTGTTTCCAAGCTTACTCTCATGGAAAGTTTTCAACTGCAGCAGAGTCATTTGTAATATGACCATAATTCAACTACACGTGAGTTTTATTTAAACTGTATTTAAATTAATGCTTTAAGTTTAGAATGTGTCCTACAAATATTTTAACATCTGGAATGTCAGATTCAACACTGTAATAGCCAATACTGTGAACACTTGAAAGAATTATGTGTGGAACATGACACACAGGGTTTACTCACACTACTTAAACATTAACCAACAGGAAACTTTGTATGCTTTTGTAAATCATGAAAAGGGGAAAGTAAACAGCTATTTTTACATGTAAGTATTTGTATACTGACTCTTTCCTATTGTACATTTGTATATATAAATCTATATTTTATATGTTCATGGCATATATATTCTCTCATCAGCAGCTGCAACTCTTAGGATGGGGAGGAAATCTCTTCACCAGTGTTCCTCCTCCTGATGATTGGTTTCTTGTTCCTGTTGGTAGGTGATGCCAGGGTATCATCTCTCTTTCTCCTTCCATTTTCTACTGTAAATGCAGCTTTCTGATTTTATTTTTAATATAGCTCAGCTTTCACTGCTTATTTTAGTGCTATAAGTGTTCATGCTGGTTGTCAAAGGCTGGGGCCATGCTTACGGTCCTGGATAAACATCTATATTCAAATACAGGCTCTGTCCAAGACTTCTTGCATGACTTGATGTCTCACCTTCCTATTTGGAAGAGGAGAACAATAATATTTTCCTACTCCCTGTCTTGACTGACTTTCTTGTAAGCTCTTGAGACGGATATTCTCATTTGCAATGTATTTGTATAATGCCTTGCAGAAGAGGTGCCCAAAGTGTCTGAAGGCTACAGGCAATGCTATAATATAAAAATAATTTAAAGTGGCTGCTTCTTGTCCCTGGAGTTTAAAATCAATTGTAGGCTAATATAGCATGGGATGAAATCAAGAGGGGAAGGGTCACGGATGGATGGATGAAGAGCTGTAGTAGCAAAAGACAGTGAGCTAGATTTATTGCCATATGCATATGCATCTTTTCAGTTCAGATGGATGGCTGTATAGATTCAAAGCTAATAAAAAAATTGTAATGCAGGATTTGAAGAATGCAGGACATGCAGAAGCAGGGAGAATGTTCCACATGTATTGTACAGGGCAGCCTGGGAAAACCTATAGCTCCCTTGTGGGAAGAGGAGCTGAAAAGGAAAACATCAGTCAAATTGAAATTGTATTTAGAAGGTGTTGGGGTTAATAGAAAGTTACTTTGAAAGTGCTGCACATGGAAGTGCAGTTGGGCCAGACAGACTTACACGAGAAGTGTCCTCATGAAGCATAGTCTTTCTCCCCAGTGAGCACAGCATAAGGATTCTGCCTGAGTTGTGTTCACATGCAAGGCAGTTTTTAAGCCTGATAAAGTTTTTAAGATAATTAAGACTTGCCAAATAGCCATAAATCTGTTGTAAAATATGTGCTTCATACTGAAGCTCTTTGTAGAGTGCTTGCATGCTGTATGAAACAATATCTCATGCAAAGGCTAGCTAAGAAAAATACAGCTCTAAGAACAGCTAAATGTACAGCAAAATCGAGAACATCATTAGAGTGCAGTTGTCACAGAGCAAAGTAAAAGTGTTGCTCTCTGCTTGGATTTGCAGGAAGAGCAGATCCACTTTTAGAAACATTGCAGCAGGCTTGATTCACACTAGATTAAATGAACATCAGTTCCCTTATTTAAATAAGCCTGTCTTTAGCATAAACTAAACACATATTTGCATGATTTTTATTATATGAATAAGGAACTGTGACCGCTGTGTTAAAGATGATTCTACAAAGAAATGACTTTGTCAAAATCTGTTAAAAATCAGCACTGTAGTATTGAAGAAAGAATCTCAGTACTTGGCTGTGTAGTAAGAGACCTTGATGATTCACCTTCTGAGAGCAGTTAAGATATCAGCTGAGAATCATTTACTAATTCTTTAAAATAAAGCCTACTATAGTTTACCTGAATATAATCAGATCCTAATTGCTTATTCATTCAAGCAGTCCTATTTTAATCAACCACTCGTGTATAAAACAAGCAGGGAGTTTACCTGAGGTTTTCAAAATAGATCTTCACATTGCTGCTAATAGAGGAATACTCACAAATAATTTGGCAGGTTTTTTTGCCATCAGTCAGCTAAGTAGTTGCTAAATGTTTTCTTTCATAATTTAGTTAGCTTTCTAAAATACACTTTTTGAAGGAAAAAGAAAAGGCATTTATTGTTTGGCTTGCTTGTAGCCTTGGTTTTAATGAATGTTTAAATTTTAATACACTTCATGTTTTATGTTGCATTATCTTCTAATTTAATTTTTTTTTTCAAGAGAAAAAAAAGTTTTAAATAGGAGCAGAAATTTTCCTAGGGAAAAAAAATATTTTTGAAAGATTTGGCTAATTACTAATTCACAGTTAATTAACTGAATAACATAAAAAACTGGGGTTTGTTTTTCCAAACAGATGTGATTCCAACCTTCTCATTCTCACTAGATGTCCAGATCACATTCTTCTGCCACCAAGGCCTCTTCATAGAAAGAAAAAAGTAGTCTATGTATCCAGCCAAATTCCCTTTCCATCTGGGCTGGGAGGCTCCATCTGCAGACTGCTTGTATCAGTTATATCAATGAGCAGGAAGGACTGAGGAAAAGTTCTACTTAGGAGCAGATGGTGTTCCAACTTCTAAAAAATGCCCCTAACGTGCTTTAGGAGAGGAGTACCCATTGATCTCTCCTGGAAATACTTTCCAAAGTATTCTGTTTTTTTCAAATGCTTTTAGCTCCTGTGTAGAACTATTGTCCTGCTTTCAGTAGGAATTACTAGCAATGGGAAAACATGCCCTTTACAGGAAAAAGTAAAGGCAAATTCTATGTCGTTAAAGATTTCTGTATAAACAACACCAGGGATGAAGAAGTCAGCCTGACACAAATTATCTGAAGACTTGCTGATTTAGGAGTCTCTGAGAACTCAATTCAAACTAATGGAAATCACTTTGGCAAGTTCATGAATGCAGCACCCATCCCAGTAAAATCTTTGCAATCCAGGGTGCTAAGGTAAGCAGTGTTTTGTTTGAGAAGTACCGTGTGCACATAATGCATTGCATAGCTAATAAAGAGGGGCCCATCCAGTGCTTGGAGGGCTGATGCAGACAGTCTTTATTCACCTGCTCGTGGGCTGGACAAAAGTAGGACCCCACACAACAATGCTCAACCAGAGGACATGTCCAGGTAAGTAAGACTTAAATAAGTAATCACTCATGAATTATAACTGGATGGTGCCCTTATTAAGTAGAAAATCAGAAGCACTTTATATACTGATGCTTATATTTTGCTGACTTTTTTTCCCTGCATGTATCTCAGAAATAGCATATGTCTTTAGTTGGGCTTAAGCAAGCCTGGGGTTTGTTTATCATGAACCCTAGAGTACCCACAAGAGTGAAACTCCATGTTAGTGCCAAAGGATCACACAGGAGCTGTCTGTGGGCATTGTGATATACTGTGTACAACAGTCTTATGTATTTAGTAAAACAGGTCTCTTTTTCTTGACTAGGCGTAGTTCTTTTGAGGAGAAAGTGTTTCATTTTCAGCAGATGTGTCTCATTCTGTTCCTTCTTTCCTGAGAGGATGCATAAGAATGTGACTTAGTCATGAGGGAGTGAAGAATGA